AGCCCTTTTTAAATATTGGTGTCACGTTGGCTACCTTCCAGTCATTAGGTACGGAAGCCGATTTAAAGGATAGGTTACAAACCACAGATAATAGCTCAGCAATTTCCCATTTAAGTTCTTTTAGAACCCTTGGATGAATGCCATCCGGTCCCGGAGATTTGTTAACATTAAGTTTTTCTATTTGTTCCAAAACCTCCTCTAATGACACTTTAATCCGGGACAGTTCCTCAGATTCATCACCCACAAAGGACGGTGCAGATTCAGGAAACATCAAACTATTTCCAATAGCAGCCAGTGCCAGACGCTGCATCAGAAGGAAGGTACAGACCAGGGCAATTATCAAGTGATCTACCCCATCCCAGCCCCAGCATCTGGCAGTCAGAGGGTTAGAGACACCCAGAGCATAGGGGCCGTCTCCCATCCACCTCGGGAGGGTGCCGAGGGAGACTGTGGAATCTCTGTCACTGGAGATATTGAAGAGCAGATTAGACAACCACTTGTCAGGGATGGTCAGACAGGACTTGGTCCTGTGGTAAGGGCAGGGGACTGGACTTGACTTGACCTCTGGTCCCTGCCAGTTCTAGTACAGCTGGTCCCCGAGTTGCGAATGGTCAAGTTATGACCAAAGCTCCCATGGAGCGGTCGGAAAGGTGGTCCCCGAGTTACGAACGCGACCCGCATTTATGAACAGTGCGGTCGCTACGTAACTCAACGGGGTCCAAGTCGTGAACAGATCGAGTTACGGCCAAGTGTTTGGTCCGTAACTCGGAGAGAGGCTGTATTCTACGACTCCTAATGGTTTCCAACATTGTTAGCTTATTTGACTAATGCTGCACATTTTGAGCAGATGTTTTCAGAAAAATACCCACAGTGACTCCAAGATCTCCCTCCTGAACAGAAAGAGCTAATCTAGACCTCATCATTTTGTATGGGCAGCCAGGGTTCTGTTCTGCAACGTGCGTCGCTTTGCACTTACCAACATTGAAGGTCATTTGCCATTTTCCTGCCCAGTCAGCCAATTTTGGGAGATCCTGTCATTCTTCCCAGACAGCTTTGGCCCCATCAAGTTTGAGGAATTTTGTATCCTCTGCAGATTTTGCCACCTATTCACCTCCTTTTCCAGAGCACCAGTCCCAGTACAGAACCCTGGGGAACCCTACTATTTACCCCTCTCCACTGAAAACTGACCATTTATTCCTACCTTTTATTTCCTGTCTCTTAACCCATTACTGATCCACAAGAGGCCCTTTTTATCCCATGACCAGTCCCCCCCCCAGCTGGGCCAGAGACCTGTTTCCCTCTTTCCTCAACTATCGGATGGACGGGAGAGAGCTTACCCTTAAACATGCGCAGCTCGTCTTGAAGCCTTTCCATGTCCATGCTGGGAGACGATGCCTGAGGCAGAGGAGGCTTTCGGTGGCCCTAGAACATGGGCAAGTGGAGCCCTGCTCACCGGACTGTCCAGAATAGAGAATTAACAATTCCGCTAGGAATGTTAAATCCAAAGGTTAATGTTTAACCTGCTGTGCTCGCACCATGTCCCAGGCAATTTGCCCTCCTGCCCCGGCCACTCGGATTGCTGCCACTGATCCCGATATCTCCTCTGCTCAAACAAACTAAAAGGTCTTGGCTGGCCAGTCTGCTCACCCCTTCTATTCCAAATTCTCTTGGGCTGATTTCAAATTGGGCAAGAGCAACTCTGGGAGGTGCATGGTTCCTGAAGCTGCAGCTGCCTTCCTGCAGGTGAGAAAAAACCAGCACGATCACATCAGTAGGCTTTGGAGACCAACAGCTTAGGACCTTTCTGGACGAAAATGGCAGCCCTTTGCTCAGCAGTCATTAAGCACTCGCAGAGTTGTTCCACGCGGACCAGGGGCTGTCCCAATGGCCATGATCACACAAGAAGATAAAACGGAGTCATTTTCAAATCACTGATAGAATGGATGCACAAATGGCAGTTAGGTGCCTAAATGCTTTGCACAGGCAGGAGGAGGAGTTATTTGTCCGACCCACCACTTGTACCTTTAATTCTCTCTCTACTTGAGAGGTTTGTTTGAATTCTTCCATGTTTTCCTGTGCTGTATCTCACTGTACAACGTAACTGTGTCCAGCTAAGTCACAATTCAGCTACTCAAAGTTTGACATTAACGTTGCTGTCCAGATGCAATTACCGAAGTAATGTTCATTAGCATTCGGCTTTATTGGAGCCAGTAGTCATTCTGTGGTAGCAGCCAGAGCTCCAATCTCAAACGGGTCCTGTTCTGTGCAAGGCAATGTACAGAAAGGCCTTGCCTCCCAGCTCCATTCTAACCCGACCAGGCACACAAAGGCTGGGAGGGGAGCTGCTGTGCCCAAAATCATACGACAATCACAGAGACAACACAGTCCTGGCAAGTTGCCTGCACAGCAATAAGACGCCTGTGATACCGATTCCATTAATGCAGCTGAAAGGTCGGCTTGTTTTCTATCCCAAGGGACCCATGGAACATGCATGTGCTAAGCATGGAGTGGCACGGGAACAGCAATTCTGCGTTTCATGTACTGCCTCAGCTCAGAAATTGGCAAGAGGGGACTTACAAACATGACACTGCTTAGCGCAGTGTGCCTGGGCAGACTGGCAAACATCCCCGTGCAAACCACTGCAGAGAACACATTCCAGCAGGGGCTGGGACACTGCTGCTAGGGGGGTGCTGAGGGCCACCCAATCTTGCACAGAATGGAAACCCCTGCAAGCTGGGCAGGCCCCGGCCCGTCACACTGAGGGGAGAGCTGGACTCACTGATTTGCTGTGTTCTTGGTTTGCACTTTGCCAATTTGTTTTCCATTCGTAGTTTAAAGGGACCTGATGTCCTCGGAGCCGATGCCATGGAACAGTCCCGTGCAGCCTCTGCCCTAGTGCTGGCCATAAACACGTATCAGAAAGTGTGAGGCTTCCCAGAGTGCCCGGGGCCCCTTGCTGTCACCGCTGCTTAGTGTGAGGAAGCCTCTTCCAGGAGCTCCACAAACCCACAGAGGGACAGGGAGGAGGAAGAGCTCAGTGGTTTGAGCATTGGCCTGCTAACGCCAGGGTTGTGAGCTCAATCCTTGAGGGGCCATTTAGGGATCTGGGACAAGTGTGTCAGGGATGGTCCTGCCGTGAGGGCAGGGGACTGGACTCGGTGACCTCTCAAGGTCCCTTGCAGCTCTATGAGATAGGTGTATCTCCCTCTCCTGGTTAGCAACAGACACGCTCTGCGTATTACTCTGGAGCAACCAGCTCCCCTGGACATTCCCAGGTTTGGTGCTGTCACCACCGTCTGGGGGAGTCGCTGGCTTCTCCATCCGCAGCCAGATGTGACTGAGGCAGCAGGGAGAACAGAAGGGTTATTAGGCAACAGGGACACAGTGTAGAACACTCTCGTCAGCACAGGAGCAGTCAGTACATACCATTTTGGGAAGGAGGCCCCCAAAGCCAGAGCTCTGCCCTCCCCCTGCCTTCCAAGCCTCCTGAGACCTCCCTACTCCCCTCAACCTGGTGCCAGGCCCCTCCTCTGGTCTTTGCTCTGCTTCCCAGGCAAAAGGTGTCACCTGGTTGCACCCCCTGCTGGGCTCAAGGGCACATGCAGGAGGCAGTCACATCCCTATCTAAGTAAGGCGTTTGATACGGTCTCACATGAAATTATTATCAATAAACTCGGTAAATACAACTTAGATGGGGCTACTATAAGGTGGGTGCATAACTGGCTGGAGAACCGTACTCAGAGAGTAGTTATTAATGGTTCACAATCTAGCTGGAAGGGCATAACAAGTGGGTTTTTGCAGGGGTCTGTTTTGGGACTGGGTCAGTTCAATATCTTCGTCAACGATTTAGATATTGGTATAGAAAGAACGCTTATTAAGTTTGCAGATGATACCAAGCTGGGAGGGGTTGCAACTAATCTGGAGGATAGGGTCATAATTCAAAATGATCTGGACAAATTGGAGAAATGGTCTGAGGTAAACAGGATGAAGTCCTCTCCACTGAAAACTGACCATTTATTCCTACCTTTTATTTCCTGTCTCTTAACCCATTACTGATCCACAAGAGGCCCTTTTTATCCCATGACCAGTCCCCCCCCCAGCTGGGCCAGAGACCTGTTTCCCTCTTTCCTCAACTATCGGATGGACGGGAGAGAGCTTACCCTTAAACATGCGCAGCTCGTCTTGAAGCCTTTCCATGTCCATGCTGGGAGACGATGCCTGAGGCAGAGGAGGCTTTCGGTGGCCCTAGAACATGGGCAAGTGGAGCCCTGCTCACCGGACTGTCCAGAATAGAGAATTAACAATTCCGCTAGGAATGTTAAATCCAAAGGTTAATGTTTAACCTGCTGTGCTCGCACCATGTCCCAGGCAATTTGCCCTCCTGCCCCGGCCACTCGGATTGCTGCCACTGATCCCGATATCTCCTCTGCTCAAACAAACTAAAAGGTCTTGGCTGGCCAGTCTGCTCACCCCTTCTATTCCAAATTCTCTTGGGCTGATTTCAAATTGGGCAAGAGCAACTCTGGGAGGTGCATGGTTCCTGAAGCTGCAGCTGCCTTCCTGCAGGTGAGAAAAAACCAGCACGATCACATCAGTAGGCTTTGGAGACCAACAGCTTAGGACCTTTCTGGACGAAAATGGCAGCCCTTTGCTCAGCAGTCATTAAGCACTCGCAGAGTTGTTCCACGCGGACCAGGGGCTGTCCCAATGGCCATGATCACACAAGAAGATAAAACGGAGTCATTTTCAAATCACTGATAGAATGGATGCACAAATGGCAGTTAGGTGCCTAAATGCTTTGCACAGGCAGGAGGAGGAGTTATTTGTCCGACCCACCACTTGTACCTTTAATTCTCTCTCTACTTGAGAGGTTTGTTTGAATTCTTCCATGTTTTCCTGTGCTGTATCTCACTGTACAACGTAACTGTGTCCAGCTAAGTCACAATTCAGCTACTCAAAGTTTGACATTAACGTTGCTGTCCAGATGCAATTACCGAAGTAATGTTCATTAGCATTCGGCTTTATTGGAGCCAGTAGTCATTCTGTGGTAGCAGCCAGAGCTCCAATCTCAAACGGGTCCTGTTCTGTGCAAGGCAATGTACAGAAAGGCCTTGCCTCCCAGCTCCATTCTAACCCGACCAGGCACACAAAGGCTGGGAGGGGAGCTGCTGTGCCCAAAATCATACGACAATCACAGAGACAACACAGTCCTGGCAAGTTGCCTGCACAGCAATAAGACGCCTGTGATACCGATTCCATTAATGCAGCTGAAAGGTCGGCTTGTTTTCTATCCCAAGGGACCCATGGAACATGCATGTGCTAAGCATGGAGTGGCACGGGAACAGCAATTCTGCGTTTCATGTACTGCCTCAGCTCAGAAATTGGCAAGAGGGGACTTACAAACATGACACTGCTTAGCGCAGTGTGCCTGGGCAGACTGGCAAACATCCCCGTGCAAACCACTGCAGAGAACACATTCCAGCAGGGGCTGGGACACTGCTGCTAGGGGGGTGCTGAGGGCCACCCAATCTTGCACAGAATGGAAACCCCTGCAAGCTGGGCAGGCCCCGGCCCGTCACACTGAGGGGAGAGCTGGACTCACTGATTTGCTGTGTTCTTGGTTTGCACTTTGCCAATTTGTTTTCCATTCGTAGTTTAAAGGGACCTGATGTCCTCGGAGCCGATGCCATGGAACAGTCCCGTGCAGCCTCTGCCCTAGTGCTGGCCATAAACACGTATCAGAAAGTGTGAGGCTTCCCAGAGTGCCCGGGGCCCCTTGCTGTCACCGCTGCTTAGTGTGAGGAAGCCTCTTCCAGGAGCTCCACAAACCCACAGAGGGACAGGGAGGAGGAAGAGCTCAGTGGTTTGAGCATTGGCCTGCTAACGCCAGGGTTGTGAGCTCAATCCTTGAGGGGCCATTTAGGGATCTGGGACAAGTGTGTCAGGGATGGTCCTGCCGTGAGGGCAGGGGACTGGACTCGGTGACCTCTCAAGGTCCCTTGCAGCTCTATGAGATAGGTGTATCTCCCTCTCCTGGTTAGCAACAGACACGCTCTGCGTATTACTCTGGAGCAACCAGCTCCCCTGGACATTCCCAGGTTTGGTGCTGTCACCACCGTCTGGGGGAGTCGCTGGCTTCTCCATCCGCAGCCAGATGTGACTGAGGCAGCAGGGAGAACAGAAGGGTTATTAGGCAACAGGGACACAGTGTAGAACACTCTCGTCAGCACAGGAGCAGTCAGTACATACCATTTTGGGAAGGAGGCCCCCAAAGCCAGAGCTCTGCCCTCCCCCTGCCTTCCAAGCCTCCTGAGACCTCCCTACTCCCCTCAACCTGGTGCCAGGCCCCTCCTCTGGTCTTTGCTCTGCTTCCCAGGCAAAAGGTGTCACCTGGTTGCACCCCCTGCTGGGCTCAAGGGCACATGCAGGAGGCAGTCACATCCCTATCTAAGTAAGGCGTTTGATACGGTCTCACATGAAATTATTATCAATAAACTCGGTAAATA